CAATGATCAGGATTTGGAGCTGCTACTTAGAAGTTATGATAGATTGATTAGGAATATTTAGAAACATAGTTTTCATGTGTATTTGCATTGTAAGGACAAGTTTTCGCACATTATCAATAAAGTAAATTTTGGTTTTATTTGCTTTATGATTACATGCAATGACATCTATGAAAATTGGTGTTTATATTTCTATTATTAGCAATGCTGGAAATGGGTTTGATTCTTACTTATATCGCTTGTGGTAGTGTTATCATTTACCAAGTGAGGAAGGATTCTCATCACCCAAGTTTCAACTGGATAGAACCTTGGAATCTTACGATTTGAATTGTGTGATGTATAAGAATCTTGATCTTTGGTAAATTGAGACTAATTCCTTGTTCACATGTATATGTAAGTCAAGTGAAGGATTAAAGGATCTAGTACACATCGATGTGAACTGGTCAGATCCACCACAAACGACGATAAAGTCTATTCGTCATGATTTACTGTTGATTCAGTAAATATGGTTATGCTTACAAGATTAAGTGTAATTCGGATACCTTGAAAAGTTTCAAAGTATTACGGAACGAATAAGAAGAATCCATTGGGCAGAGGGATAAAAGTTTCTCCAATCTGAAAGGAAAGGAGAGTACTTTAGTACCATGTTTTATGATCATCCTGATGATTATGGAACCACGTCACAATTGATCCTCTAAGGACACCTTAGTGCATTTATATGACTAAGAAGAGGAATCAGGTATCGTTGAAATGGTTAAATCAAGAAGATGAGTCATACTTCGTTCCAAAATCAAGTTTTAGAGTGGTACTCTAGTTACTCCAAGTTGTACTTTGAGTAATATGTTCTAAGTAGGTTTACAACACCTCATGAAATGTGGAGTAGAAATGTTTTCTTGCTCTAGCACATTTGAAATTGCTAGTTGTGATGTTTTGGTTAAAACAAATACCAACTAAGACCAATTATATGAAGTGTTTTCTTGATAAGAACCCACACTAACTCTCGAATATTTGTTTGTCAAGGAATGTTCCTTGACAGAGAATCTTATATGTCAAGAGGTCAGTGGGAGTCTTGTTGATCTTGAAACGTTTCAGGAGATAATCAAGAATAAGCCTATTAGTAATCATTAGCACACGACCTGAGGTTAATAACCTATCGTGTTGACACATTCTTGTTTCTGTGCCCATTCCAGTTAAGTTGACTATGCATGTGAGTTCTATGAGTTCTTATTTGACTGCATAAGGCAAAGCACCTTGATCAGTGAAAGTACATTGATTTGTATGAGTGAGCTGCTCAATAACTTGGAAGCACTGGTAGGCCCTTGTGCTACCGGATGGCAAGAAATTAAGATTAAGCATGTCCAGTCCATATGAGTTTGAATTTGTCATAAACCTTGTCTTATGATAGTGGTTGGAAATGACAAATTCACATGGATAGGAACACATACATCATAAAATCTAAGTGGTAAGAGGTTTCTCTCTACTTCATGAAAATGATTGTGAGGAAACGCTTTCACTTGTGGATTTTATAGGATTGGTTAATATCATTAGAGTTAGCAGTTGTGATAATTGTGTTCTCAAATTCGAGTATGATTACGACATCCCTTTTTATAGTTCGAATTGTGAGAAATGGAAAATAGTTTGAACATTCGGGACTTATTGCTATAAATTCTGAGAGGGTTTAGACGCATACATAAGCTGTCTAATGAAAGGTGTATGATCTTGAGAAGTCTAGATAAAGACTTATCAAAGCACCACGTATCAGAAATCTGAACTTTGGTAAGAAAGTCAATAGGTATTGATTTCTAGAAGCCCAGCTGATTTCTGGATACATGTCAAAACTAGTGGGAGCTTAATTGTTATGCTGGTAAGAACATAATTGTTATGCTAGTGGGAGCGTGATTATTATGTTAAGTATTGCAAGTTAGCAATGTTGTTTATAGGAAACCAAGTTCTAAATTTGTAAAGTTGCAGAATTTGGAAATTGTTTCGCTATAGTAAGGCTTAAGGGAGAGGGCAATAATACTTCATTTCGAATCTAAAAGCTTAGATTGGAATTTTAATGGAACTTAGTCATGAACATATATGTTGAAGCGATTCAACATAGGAAGATTCGATATATGGACATATTATAGCAAGAGACTGTCAGGTCTTTATGTATGACATTGTGTATTGGATCCTATATGCTTCGAGTATAGGATCGATTTCATATGCTATAATATTCACTTGTTCAGATTTTTCCAAATGCCTAGGGCATTAGGAGGGAAAAAGGAATAGAACTTGATATGACTAAAGATGTTAAACAACTGTCAAGGACAATATGAGGTTTACCGAAGATTGGTTGCTTGTGGATAGTTGGAAGTATAGTATTAATTTGGACATACCATATTGACATGTTCTGAATAGAGGTAACTGTTGTTTAGAATTGATAGTCATATGTAATATGAAATGTTTCATCATGGGAGTTGGATATTAAGATCTATGTGTGAGTTATTAACTTTGATGCAAGAAGGATGTTCAAGGAATATGAAAGGTTAGACTCTAACACATTCTAGGAGTGGTAAGAATTTGGTATTCCTACACTTGTGATAAGGATTTGGAATTGTGAAATAAAAATCATTGGAAATATGTTCAATTGATCTATTTCACAAAGGAATTACCATAGATAAACATAGTGTGCATGCTTGGAGCATGGTATGACTATTGTTTTAATTTAAGTATTTAGTTGATTAATCGAAACATTATACAATGAATAAAGTCTAATTGATATGGTGATTAAATAACAAGTGTTTTATTTATATTCAATTGGTTGAGACCATATTTAATTAGGTTATTCTTGTGTTTCACTTCACATGTTTTACTTCCTGGATAACTAGGTTATTCAAATATCCACAGTCGATCATACTTTTGGAAGTAAGTAGTGAATTAAGACTCTAATGAATCTGATTGTAAATTCACTACTAGAAAAACAGCCTTTTACGACGCGCAATGCGTGTCGTAATACGCTCAGACGACGCGCAAATGTGCGTCAAGGAAGGCCCTGTCATAACGACAGACGACACGCTTTTGCGCGTCGTCTATAGATGATGCGAATTTACGACGCGCATTTATGACACGCAATGCGTATCATTAAAACCCCTGTCAAGAAAGGCCATGTCATAAATGAAGATGACACACATTTTTGCGTATCGTAAATTTAAATGTTTAAAAAAATATTTATATATTTATTAATTTTTAAATTAAATTTGCATTTAATGTCTCATAATATAAATAAAATACCATATACAAAAAATACAATCCATTGCATAAAATTTAATGTCATACAATTCTATTTCTTATAATATATAAATTTGCATTCATCTAATCTACTCTGTGTTTCATACTAACAATTGAAATGAAGAATGCAACACTTGCATTTGCAGCATCTTATGTCTTTCAGCTTAAGCTTTCTTTTCCTCTTCTAACTCCAGAGCTATTCGCTTTCATCAACCCTGTAAACACAACACAAAATCACTTGTCATTTTCATTCTACTTTTAAAATTAATTCTTATTAGAACATCCTACTTTTAAACCTACCAATCTAGCAATTTTTTCAAAGAATATAATTTATAATTTTTTTAGGGAAAGTACATTGCTATTTCTTGAATACAAGATGTTACAAATCAAGAAACTTACATGGACTGCTGACCACCAGTTTCCTGCATCATTTGAGTATATATGTACTCATCAACTCTCTGCTTTGCCAAAGCAACCTATTTCACATCAAATTAAAACTGATTTTAATCAAATTTGTATTATAAAAAAGTCATCTTTATCATACCCGCTCCTTAAATTGTTCTTCTTTATCTTCAAAACTAGAAAGTGCAACAACTTCTACATTAAAAAAGTCACTCAATGGAGTATGTTTGTGGGCTTCTGGCTTAGGGACAGAATCCCAAATCTGGGACAAAGAACAGAGCATTATAAGTGTTGCAATTGTGGAGTAATACAATAAATAATTAATAACTATTAACTATAATTACCTTCTGGATATCTTCCCTCAAAACAGGTTCTAAGTTTTCAAGGGGGGTCTATACAGAAACAAAAGGATAATTACATCAAATGCTATCCAACTTCTTCATTCTTTTGGGAACCGTAACACCATCAACATACTGAACACAATTTAATTTCCCAGAACCACCTGATAGTAACAGAAAATTACACTTTTATTCCCTGGGTATATGATTTTTAACACTATTGATTCAAAAAAGTTTTACCTAGTCGAGCAGCATGCTTGAGCATCATCTGTGGTAATATCCCTTTCTGTAAAATAAGTTTAAGGAATTAATTAAAGGATATTTTGGGAAGGTTAGCTTCCGAATTTAACTTCATTAATTAGTTAATTAATTAAAGGGTATTTTGGGAAAATCATAAAAAAGATAACCTTTTTTGGTTTTGTGTCACTAGGTTATGCGTGATCCTAGCGGAATCAGTAGAGGTTCTGGTTTTGTTGCCTTTTCGTCTACTGAAGAGGCTTCTCGAGCTGTAAGATTTTAATATATATTGTGGACTATATTTTTTAAAATTTTTTAACGAAAAATTAACGAGGTTTTTCATTGTTTTACATTTACAGCTTAGTGAGATGAATAGGAAAATGATTGTTAGCAAACCACTTTATGTTGCACTTGCTCAACGTAAGGAAGAAAGAAGGGCAAGGCTTCAGGTAAATGATTTACCAGGAAATAATTATGATTTGTTAACCGCAAGTATGATTAATTTTCATTTAGTATCTTATTATCTATATCTATATATAACAACCATGTGTGCGGAAATTGACTTCTCTTTTTTTTTTTTTTTCAGATGGTTCCAAGAGGGGATGGACAAATGTATCGTTACCCAGGTAGGAACATGGGAATGGAAACATGGGAGGAAGGATGCTTTCGGTGCCTTACGACATGGGTGGCATACTTCCACGTGGAGGTGGAGGGGGAGATGGTGCTGCTACTGGCGGCATACAACAGCAGCCGCTAGTGCCTATTACAGCGTTGGCTTCTACTCTTGCCAATGCACCACCTGAACAGCAAAGAACGGTTACTAAATATGCTGCGTGTGTTCTTCTCAACCTGTAACAGATTAAGGAATTAATTTTCATTATATATTTATTTATATCTAAAAGACAAACATATGTAAGTGAGAGCAAAATTACCATTTTGTCCGTGTTGTATCTTACAGCATAGCCAAGGCCAGATTTGCGATGTTGACCAGCCCATAACACTTCCCCACCTAAAGACAGGTGAGGGGTCACACTCTGCAAGCAGAATATTACCCATGAGAAAATGTTGATATTAAATAAATGAAATATAATAGATGAGGGATCGTTTACCTGGATATAACTAGCTCCAAGGAGGCCACCATTTCCAAGTTTGAACTGTGTCCTGTAATCACTACCCTGCATCAAGAAAAAACGATTCACCATAACAAAAATGGACATTTGCATCAAAACAAATTAAAGTGTATTTCAATTTTGAAGGTACAATGTCATGCAAGAACATAAACTACAATATTTATAGATATCATAACCATAAAGAGCCACAAGATGAATAATGTACCTTATAGTCAAAGTTGAACATTCCATGTGACATGTGAGGCTCATTTGTAAGCAGATATAAGTCCAAAATTGAATTAACAACATACCAAGTCAGCTGATTGAGAAGGAAGTTCTGTAGGCCCCATAACAATACTGTAAATTAAAACAGAAAAATCATCAAATCAGAAGTAGATTAATCCATACCAAGTTAAAATAAGTTAAATGTGTAGCTGGCTACCTGTGACATAGTGAAAATCTCTAATTCAGACCCTTGGGAAAGTAGACACACATACCCTCAAAAAGTTCAGGCTTTAATGACACTGCATAGGAGTAAGTGTGTTCAATATAAGGAATAATAAACATATTATTGATGAGAAACATCATAATGCCCACAAAGCTGATAAGAAAATAAAGGGTGATTGATGAAAAGTACCAAAAGTTGGAAGAATAAGGATTTAACCTTGAAATTTCACCCAAAAGAATGTGAACAGTGAACATTAAACATTGATATGAATATGATACTCCTCAATAATGAAAATTAATGCAAGTTTTATCCCATGTATGGAGTATAATGTGTATTTTCGAAACAATTTTGACATAATTCTACCCTTGTACTTGATAACATTCGTCACACAAATCAAATAGAATTCACCAGGATATTTCTAAGTACACATTTGATCGGTTTCGAGGAATTAACTAATCAACAATACAGTAGCGTCCAATTATTCAGGAAAAACTAGTATCAGTCTCACTGAAGATCCATAATTAATAAGATCGAGAACGGTGTATACGTTTAACACATAAAACGACGTAGATTTCAGCAACGAAGTTGGATCGCGAGAAAATCTGAAGTTGTTTTACAGAATTTCAGATCTACAAGCATCAAAATTTGAATTCGTAACTGAATATAACACCAACATACCGTCACTCACCTCCACCGATAAGCTCCATCTCTATCCGGGCCAAGCCATTAGAAAAGTCGCCTCCGCTCAAGCCATTCTTATGTGCGTGGTGGTTGAATCGGCGATATCATCGTCTTCGGAGGAAGAGGAAGGACTTGGAGTTGAGTTGTTGTGTCTGGTAAGGAATTTGTTGAAGAAGATTAAGAAGAGAGTATTAGTAGGAGATAAGGTGTTCGTATGTTCGATCGATTGGGTTGATCGAAGAGGAATGATTGAAAATGTGTTTAGTCTATTTTAGGGTTCTTAATTTGGTAGAGGATTTTAGAAGGAGAAAAAGAGGCGGGGTGTTTAATTTTTTTGGGATTTCATTTCCCCCCATAGTCTATTAAAAAAATGGAGAATGCGCTTCCTGAAAAATATAAAACGGCACCCTTACACGACACACTTCTTATGATAGGTGCCCTCCGTGTTTTTTTTGTTGGACACTAATTTTAGGGCGCGCAAAAATATGTGTCCTCTATCATTCAGATTTTGGAAAACTGACATTAATTTTTAGGGCACGCACAAATGTGTGTCCTCTACTGGTGTGTGTCATTAATTGCGCGTCGTAAAAGACTGTTTTTCTAGTAGTGATTGTCTAAGAGCTTAGACATGGCAAATGTTTGTTGCAGTATTCATGAGTACTCCTGAAATAGGAATTTGAGTATTGGATTAACCCACGCTCAGTGAATTACTTCATGGATTTTATCACGAGTAATTCTGAGATGATAATATCTTATATTATTGAAACGGAGACATATGAGTTGTTTACAATTAGGTTGTGCATTGATAATACGTAAACACATCAGTAACTTGATGTTATAAAACGTATTGGTGTGTATGATTTGATGAGTAAATAGTACAAGCATTTGAGTCGAAGTTTATCCGTTCCTTTTACCCTAAATGGGATAAAAGCGATATATGTGGGCCCCTCGATGATTTAGTGATGACATCTTAAGCGCTTGGCCAAGCCAGAACTAAGTTGAAGTGTTCAATAGTAGTCTGAATCAGTCGTCATGAATCGGAAATCGGGAACAAATCTTGCACAGATAGATTGATTATAATCCATGTCTCATCATGTCAATTCGATATCTTGTAGAACGGTGGGATATTTGATAGCTTATCTAAGGACGCATCATCGATTAGGTCATAGTTCGATAGCGGCTTTTGAGAGCTACGATTGCTAGTCAAATTTTGTAGTCATGCTTGCAATTATAGTTATTAGAAATATACAAGTGGGAGACTGTTGGATTAGGTGTCTAAGCTCATAATTATAATTGGTATGTACTTGATTTGATGGTAGCATGGTCCTTTTGGGTTGCCTTCACACTGGCAACTAGACAAGATGACTATTGGAGAGAGAGGCTGAGTTTATTATTAACAATAATAAATTGGTGCATAAAAACTAATTTATTAATATATTATAAGAATAATATATTAATTAGAAATCATATTATTAATTAGTATTTAATCAGAAATTAGTTCGGAATTAATTTTGGGATTAAAGGAACTGATTAAAAGTGCAGGTGCTGTTTTGCAATTATTTGATAGTTGTGGTTTTGGGCCATTGGATCACCCTTATTAGGGAGGGCCGAAAATCCCTATAAGGCTCTATAGATTTTCGTCCAAGCCCTAAGGAAGGGGTCCATGGACTTGCTTAGGCCTTAAGCTAAGGAATTAGGGTTTCCACCTTAAAACCCTAGCTAGCCTCAACTATAAATAGAGCCCTTTACATCATCAATTCGTGCACCCTCTTGAAAGCCTAGAAGAGCCAAATTTCTGAGCAAGTTACTCCTCTCTCCTCTCTCTCATATTCATCCTCTTGCCCTAGTGTGTTTGTGAGCCATTAGAGGTACTACGCTTGTGGTACTTCTTCTCAAAAGCAAGGATCTTCAAGAATTGGTTGTTGTTATTATTATATAGCAACAAAGGTATGTGTTCTAATCTTTCTTATGTAGATTTCAAAATATTAGATGCATATTAGGGTTTTCTATTTTGTGTTCAATGCTTATATGTCTAATAGAGAAAACATAGATCCAATCTAGGGTTGCATGCACACATAGGATTGTTTGTATAAAACCCATCAGTGACTTCATGCATTTTAGTGCTCATTGAAGAAGAAGGATCTTCTTGGAGAAGTGTGGGATTGCTTGGAGCTTGTGGATCCAATCTCTAATCATCTTGATCTACCTTCTGGAGGTATAAAGCTTCAAACTTTATGGTTCTCTAGTAAAGATCTAGTTTTGGTGGAGTTTTTCCTTGTTTTTGTCCCAAGTTTGTTGATCTTGTGAGTAAGAGCTACTCCAAGACCTTTGAGCCTCATATTTAGTCCTTGTTGAGTTATTAGGTCATAAAAATGTCATCCTGAGGGTTTTTTTATGGATGCATGCATAAGTTGGTGTTCTTAATATGGATAAAATCAAGGATTTGGTCACATTAAGTCATGTAAAGGAGTAAAGTTGCCATCTTTACATGTTAAGACATAATTTAGAATCTGATAAGTGTTTAGATGCTTTTGTCTTAACCATTAAGAGCTTATCATGGACTTTTGTGCCTCTGATGAGTATGTTGGGCGTATATAGCAGTACGCTCATCGTAATGTGTGTTTCGTGCATCAACGGTTTGTACTTTGTGATTCGGTGATGAGTACGTGGTGTGTACTCTTCTGGTACACAGGGCGCACTCCCGAGGAGTACCCATTTCTTCTTCTTTGACGAGGTGTAGCATGCGCTGAGATGGCCCGTACGCAGGGCGTACACTCCTTGGGGACCTTTTGATTTTGGGCCACCTTTTTTGGACTCTAGGGTTGTGGACCTTTTTGGACTTAGGCTCGTATTGGGCCTTAGGACCCTCTAATTCGGTTTGGGCGATTAGTGGGCCTAGTTTGGGCTTGGGCCATTCTTGGGCCTCATGTTTTATGGGTTTGACCTTAAGAATGTAATTAGGGTTGGTATTGATTGTGTTCAGTGTGAGGAGCCATTTTGTAGCAGTTTGGGCGCGGGATTTGCTATCTTCTGATTGAGGTAAGTTTCCTCACTGTGTTTTGCGAGTCGAATGCACCAATGCCGGCCCATGGTTTGATATATTAGGATGCTAGTTGTCTGCGTGACTCTTGCATGTGTAATGTGTTATATGTTTATCAGGCGGTGCCCGATGACTATCATGTATGCTATTTATCTTTCTTATTATTGCATGTGTTTGTATGTTTATATGTTTATTTGTTTATATGTATACCGGGCGGGGCCCGATGCCAGGCGAGGCATGATGACTGACAGATCTGTTTACTGAGTGGGGCTCGATGTCGGGTGCGGCCCGATGATGGGCGTGGCTCGATGCCCCAACGGGGCCCATTATATGGTTGATATGTATGGTATGTGGTATGTTGGGGAACTCACTAAGCTTTGTGCTTACGGTTTTCAGTTTATTTTTTAGGTACTTGTAGTTCGAAGGGGAAGAGCCCGGGATGATTGCAGTGCACATACCACATTATTTCTTATATTATATTACTCTGATGTACTTGGATGTTTATTGATACATTTTGATTCACCATGATTTCTATGATGTTGTTTTGGATAATGGTTTTATTAATTTAAAAAAATTGAAATTTTAGTCTTGATTTTTGGGACGTTACAGTATCCCCTGAAAACGGGGACAACAATTCGGAAACAGATAGAGTATTCATAAGGGTAGGCTTCTAAACCCATTTTTTGAATACCTTATCTCATATGTGAACACAAGGTAGTGCAGTGGAGCAAAAGATAAAGAGAAAATGACAATAAGGTATTCAAAAAATGGTTTTAGAATTTGGAAGATTTTTTTTGTTATTTATATCATCTTACTTTTTTATATTTTTGTTATTTATGGTAATTGATTTTGTTTTAAGTTTTCTATAACAACATTGTACTTTAAATATTATATTGCTTTTTTTCTATTTGAGCATTGTACTTTTTTTTTATAATTTTGTTATTTATAACATTTTATTTTATTTTTTTCAATTGTAACGTTGTATTTTATAAAATTATATTATGTTGTTTTCTGTTGTACTGATTTACTTTATATTTTCATTGCCAATAATAGCATCTTACTTTATTTGTTATTTTTTTTACAATCCACATTGTTTTTTTACTAAAAATAGCATCCTACTTTATTTGTGTTTTTTTTTTTTGCAATAATAGCGTCCTACAATAATATCATCATACTTTATTTGTTTTTTTACAACGCATATTGTTTTTTTTTCACAAAAAATATCATTCTCAATAATAGCATCCTAATTTTTTTTTTGTTTATTCAACAATAGTACCCTACAATAATAGCATTCTCAATAATAGCCTTTTCAATAATAGCATCCTACAAAAAATACACATTGCATACAAATCAAATATACATACATAATGTCATGTTTTCATTCATACAAATACACATTATACACACACATAATCTACA